GAGAGAGAGACAGGGTCACATCACAGTGGAGTCAGCTGTCTTAACCGTGGCTTGTGTACTGCAAACACATACCAGCTTCATCACGGTGTCTGTCACACGACTCTGTTCCCCTTTCGGGCTTGAACTGATGGTAAAACTAATGACATTATTTACTGTCTTTACATTTATTTTGAAAGATGAAGCTCGCGATTATGGTAAGGGGCGTTACATTTCCGACGAGTGCTTGCGGTGTTCGGCCAATCACAATGCACTGGGTCAGCTGGCTAATCAGAGCAGACTGCGCTTGTCGGAAGGAGGGACTTTGTAGAAAACGAAGCGTTTGAGAGAGGCGGGGCATAGAGGACCTACAATAATGTACAGTATTTGAAAAATAATGTGTTTTTTGAACATTAAAGCATGTCAACATATTCTGTTACACCAAATACACAAAATAATGATCTTTAAAAAAGCATCATATGACCCCTTTAACTAATATTTTTGAATGATATTTACACGCTTTTTTATTTTTATACATAATCAATAATTGGTTCTTTGATATTTAAGCCAGAAAAAAATACATAATTTAGTGAGCCAAAACAGTTTTCACAAGTAGGGCTGGGTTTTTTTTACACACATTTCACGATTCGATTCGATTCTGATTCACAAGCTTGCGATTCGATTTGATTTCCGATTCAATTCGATATCGCTTATTTTGGATATATATCAGGTACAGTACATGTCAAATTTTCTCAAAGAAAAAAACTCTAATGCTGTAAAATATACATGTGATTAAGTTGGTATACATTACTATAACATTGAAGGTTAAAACTAACTGATTTGTATACAAATGCTTAAATTACACTCAGTTAAGTTTTATAATAATACATTTACAACTACATAATTTCTACTCCAATTCGTTTTTTTTTTTTATATAAACAATTGGTAGCTGTCATATGAAAACTTTGTCAGATTTATTCAAACATAAAACATTGAAGAACTGTAAAAATTATAATATATGTTATATGGCACATATATTTAGCAAAATGCTCCTCTCTAGAGTAAATTTTTCTAGCTGACTAACGAGTTTATAGTCACCGAATATGTTTTTTTTTTCTGAGGTAAATGTGACATTACGTGACATACAAGCTGTTATATTGACATCTTTGCACGGTTTTGAGTGATTACATAAGACAGGATACAGATTTTATTCATGTTTATTTCGTGCTGAACCTGGTATTAAAGTGGAGCTGGTGATTAGTTCACACGCGCTTTGCATTGCCGCTTCTCTTGAAATGAGGTGCTACAACGATCTGTCACTCCACATTAAACAGCACCAAAATGGCATTTATTGTTTGGATACTGTAATAAAATGGACAGAATTTGAAATCTGGGACTTTGTTTCATATCAAAAGTAATAAAGCACAACGCTTATGGGATTTATTGGATGAAAGTCACGCTACAATGTTCCCTTTTTTTTTTTTTTTATATAAACAATTGGTAGCTGTCATATGAAAACTTTGTCAGATTTATTCAAACATAAAACATTGAAGAACTGTAAAAATTATAATATATGTTATATGGCACATATATTTAGCAAAATGCTCCTCTCTAGAGTAAATTTTTCTAGCTGACTAACGAGTTTATAGTCACCGAATATGTTTTTTTTTTCTGAGGTAAATGTGACATTACGTGACATACAAGCTGTTATATTGACATCTTTGCACGGTTTTGAGTGATTACATAAGACAGGATACAGATTTTATTCATGTTTATTTCGTGCTGAACCTGGTATTAAAGTGGAGCTGGTGATTAGTTCACACGCGCTTTGCATTGCCGCTTCTCTTGAAATGAGGTGCTACAACGATCTGTCACTCCACATTAAACAGCACCAAAATGGCATTTATTGTTTGGATACTGTAATAAAATGGACAGAATTTGAAATCTGGGACTTTGTTTCATATCAAAAGTAATAAAGCACAACGCTTATGGGATTTATTGGATGGAAGTCACGCTACAATGTTCCCTTCATTAACTGAAAACAGGCTAGACTAATCGATTCTTCGGATTTAAGAATCGATATCGTTAAAATCGAGAAATCTATATTTTTTACCCAGGCCTATTCACAAGTAAAGAAACGTATTTAATGTATTGTTTCGATAAAAGAGGACCTGAAAGAAAGAGTTTTTTATTTATTTATTTATGTTGTTTAGGGATAGACCGATAATTTGATTCTCGACAATCAATCATTTTAATTAATATAGAGTCTACAGAGAAATTACATTATTTATTAGGCCAGAACAGTATTCACAGGAAAAGGAACTTATTTAATGTGTTCTTTAAATAAAAATCAGCCCAAAACAAAGCTAAAATATATTTGCAATCATTTAGATCACAAAGCAATTTCAAATAAATATAATGGCATAAATAACAATAATTGTAATGATATTCATAATGCATCTGTTGTTGTAGTAAAAAAAAATGGGTCAAAAATTGTTTCTGTATAACATGCACTTGATCATAAAAATTCATATCAATGAACCATATCAGTGATAATAAGATATTGTTCAATCTCTTGTGGTATCTTTTAAGATTTATCCACCCCCTCGTAAAAAGCATAAAAAGTAAAACGATTTCATATCAGTTTGCTTTGTTATAAAAAAGAGAAGTGGAGAGTAAAAAAAACTACAATACCTACAATGAGCATATCTCAAATTGACATGTTTATAAAACTGAAAGTTGGAATAGAATATGGCCTTTCTACTCTCCCTGTAAACGGAACTTCACTTTTCTGTCTTTTAGGTACATACATTATGTGTTTGATCTTGGCAACGGGCCCTATGTAATCAAGGGCAACAGTGACCGAGCTTATATATATATATATATATATATATATATAATATTTTAAGAAAAAATATTTATTTGTAAAAGAAAAGTTTTGAAATAAAATAATATAGAATATTGTGTGAAATAATTACATAAAAGCTCTGTGCATTTGACTACTTGTTATTTAATTCTATATATATATATACCATCCTATATCAGAATTAAAAAAAAAGACAAAACAAAGAAAATCTAAAAGTTTACAAAAATATTTTGAAATACAAATTATGTAAGAATCTGACATATTTTAACGGAAGCTGAGTGTCAGTTAAATGAAAGTGCAGATATTATGGTCATATAACCAGCATCAAAGCTTCAATTTGTGGTTCCTGTTGGAAGTTGGCAGTTCTTGGCCAAAATAAGCTGAGAGACTATTTCATATCAGTTTGCTTTGTTATAAAAAAGAGAAGTGGAGAGTAAAAAAAACTACAATACCTACAATGAGCATATCTCAAATTGACATGTTTATAAAACTGAAAGTTGGAATAGAATATGGCCTTTCTACTCTCCCTGTAAACGGAACTTCACTTTTCTGTCTTTTAGGTACATACATTATGTGTTTGATCTTGGCAACGGGCCCAATGTAATCAAGGGCAACAGTGACCGAGCTCTCCATGACAACCAGTGGCATAACGTTGTCATCACTAGAGACAACAGTAACGTCCACACGCTCAAAGTCGATGCCAAGGCAGTGAGTCAAGGCATCAATGGCGCTAAAAATCTGGACCTTAAAGGTACGTAATCATCTAAAATTCACACTAAAGTTCACAGTCTAATCACTACTTTGTTTACCTGGGCATCTATTGTATCTGCGGTCTGCTCAGGTGACCTCTACATCGCCGGATTGGGGCCCAACATGTATAACAACCTGCCGAAACTTGTGGCCTCTAGGGACGGTTTTAAGGGTTGCCTGGCATCTGTGGACCTGAACGGACGCCTTCCCGACCTCATAAACGACGCCGTGTTCCGCAGCGGTCAGATCGAGCGAGGATGTGAAGGTACACCCTCTTACAACTCTAGCTCGAGGAGCCCGTTCTTTCTCATGAATGCAAACAGTAGTTCCACCTCCACCTCACTGAGACATCACTCCATCTTTCTCACCCTGGTAGTCTCATCTCTCACCCAGTCAGCTCTCTGTTGAGCCCACTGGCTTATTAATATGCTTCTTGGCCACATTGGTCATGCTAGGATCAGCCAAGTCTTTGTTTGTATGAATTAGTGATATTTTTACATACCTACCTACAGAGGGAATATTTACATTACAGTATTTTGAGTTAAGATGGAACTTTATGCATTTGATCTGATGTGTTTTGACCTTAAACCATTAAAAATAATACAAGAATATGGGCAGCTATTAAGTAATTATGACAAATATGTTGTAATATATATAAAGTACCATTCAAAAGTTTGGGCTCAGTAAGTTTTATTCAGCAGGGATGCATTAAATTGACCAAGAGTGACAGTAAAGATTTATAACGCTACAAGAGATTTCAAATAAATGCTGTTCTTTTCTACTTTCTATTCATCAAAGAATCCTGGGGGGGAACTGGATTATGGCTTCTACAAAAGTATTGAGCAGAACGGCTTTTTTCAACATTGATAGTATCATGTGTGACACTGAAGACTAGAGTAATGGATGCAGAAAATTCAGTTTTGCCATACCAGGAATAATATATTTAAACAGTTATTTTTAATTGTAATGATATTCAAAGATATTTTTATTTAATAGTTTTTACTGTATTTTTGATCAAACAGCTTTGGCGAGCATAAGAGACTTATTTCAAAAACAATAAAAAATCTTAACGAACCCAAGATTTTAAATGGTAGTGTGTGTGTGTGTGTGTGTATATATAAAGTGCAGATATTATGGTCATATAACCAGCATCAAAGCTTCAATCATAGCAAATGATTGTATGTTAAATGCCAAATATGTCCAAAAGATCAGAACACAGATCATTTAAGATCCATACAAGAATATTTCTTCACTTTCTCATTGCAAATATCCATTTTCTTATGTATATGAGATCTCTGCCATATTTCAGTGCATGTTAATGTCTTTGTTTTCTTGACATTATTTGTTTGTTTGATTGGTTGGTTGGTTATTTTTATTGTTTTTATTATTTTTTTTAATTATTATTATTTTGCCTTTCACTTTTTTGTTCTCAGTGTTGTCTTGTTCTTATAAGAACTTGATTTATTATAGTCTTGTTTGCGTACAACTTTATGTATAATCATTTATATGACCTGTCCTTCCATCACAAAATTAATTGTCCATCTCAGTTCCATCATTCATCTCAATGTTGTCTTGAACAAAAAGCCTCCCTTTATGTTGAGTATCCTACATGTTACGTTTGCATGTTGTTGAACCAAGAATAAAATCGTATCAATCTAAATCGTTTGGTCTTTTGTTGTATCATCTTCATGTTTTGTTGCTTGAGTCCATTGAGTGAGTGAAATGTCAATGTCAGCATGCTTGATAATCACATACAGAAGTTTGGGATTGTTTTCTTAAGACAAAAAGCTACTAGTTTATGAACACAACAGGTCTTAACAAATATGAAAATGTCTTTTCCCTCTAAACTAATGCAAATTTAATGGTTTAATGTCAAAGCGTACACAATTTAAAACATGCAAACCTCCCCCCCCACCCCCCACTTTTTCAATATCAGTGTGCAAACCATAAAGATATGATTTCTCAACAACTTTTCATAGCTGCCCATTACTATTAAAACTTTCAGAGCCTAAGGGCTTTTCACACTGCGCTTAACCCTGGGTTATCGTCGTTCTAAGCCTCGCTTTTAACCGCGGATAAAGGTACGTTTCACAGGTTTAGCACCGCTTGTTACCCAGGGTTATGGAACTGTGTTGGGTTAGCACCGCTTTTACACGGTCAGACGAGTACAGTGTGAAATGAGGTGGTTTTTAAAAAAAAAAAAATTACGGCTAGAACCTAATTAGCAGCAAATACAATCACATGCCTCATATATATTCACTTGACAGTCACGGATACAGTGTCGTTTCAGCATTTAAGTGGAAAATGTCAAATGTTGACAGAAAATATTTGAATTAGAATGAAGAAGAGTTTTATTCTTACCTTGATAGCCCAACAAACAAAAATCCATTCATGAAAAACCTGATGGTACAGTCGGCAATAATATGATGAGCAAAGGCAGGGTTGCCAGGTTTTCACAACAAAACCCGACCAATCACTATTGAAAACTAGCGCGAAACTAGCTCAATCTGTTTCGAGGGGGTCCCCTGTTCCGGGGGTAACATACAGGTTTTTTTGGCGGGGTTCCCCTGGTAAAATTCACATTCCAAGGGCTAAATACCACGTTATTGGGATGGCTTCAAACCGCGGATGTGAAAAACTATCCCCGGCAACAGTGTTAAAGTATCCAAATTCCACGGGTTTGGCAACACTGCGTGCAGCGATCATCCAATCAATATGCAAATGAGAACTTTGCAGGGGATTTAGGAATCGGGGTTGCCAAGTCCGCGGGTTAAAGTGATCTCCCCTGAACGAGATTTTGACGGAGGGGACCCTGGTGAAGGGGAAAACCGCAGAAAACAACATGAATGGGTTAGTTTTGATTAGAAATTGGGATGGTTTTGTTTCACAGACCTGAAAACCCTGTTATGAATTTACAGTGTGAAACGCCAGTTTATGAATTATTTGTTAATCCAGGGTAAATAATGAGCAGTGTGAATGGCAAATGACCTATTTCAAGCGTGAAAAGCCCTATTGTGAAATCCGAAGAAAAGAATATCTTTAACATTTAATTCCACATATTTTCATCACCACCAGATCGTCTGATATAGCTGACGTGCTAGACATCTTTAAGATGTAGGCTATCTGTCATATTTTATAAACAGAGACATACCCGACCGACACCATTTGAATTCAGTTCTTCATTTCATACATGAATAGAGCAACTTGATTAAAACTTTCAGAGCCTAAGGGCTTTTCACACTGCGCTTAACCCTGGGTTATCGTCGTTCTAAGCCTCGCTTTTAACCGCGGATAAAGGTACGTTTCACAGGTTTAGCACCGCTTGTTACCCAGGGTTATGGAACTGTGTTGGGTTAGCACCGCTTTTACACGGTCAGACGAGTACAGTGTGAAATGAGGTGGTTTTTAAAAAAAAAAAAATTACGGCTAGAACCTAATTAGCAGCAAATACAATCACATGCCTCATATATATTCACTTGACAGTCACGGATACAGTGTCGTTTCAGCATTTAAGTGGAAAATGTCAAATGTTGACAGAAAATATTTGAATTAGAATGAAGAAGAGTTTTATTCTTACCTTGATAGCCCAACAAACAAAAATCCATTCATGAAAAACCTGATGGTACAGTCGGCAATAATATGATGAGCAAAGGCAGGGTTGCCAGGTTTTCACAACAAAACCCGACCAATCACTATTGAAAACTAGCGCGAAACTAGCTCAATCTGTTTCGAGGGGGTCCCCTGTTCCGGGGGTAACATACAGGTTTTTTTGGCGGGGTTCCCCTGGTAAAATTCACATTCCAAGGGCTAAATACCACGTTATTGGGATGGCTTCAAACCGCGGATGTGAAAAACTATCCCCGGCAACAGTGTTAAAGTATCCAAATTCCACGGGTTTGGCAACACTGCGTGCAGCGATCATCCAATCAATATGCAAATGAGAACTTTGCAGGGGATTTAGGAATCGGGGTTGCCAAGTCCGCGGGTTAAAGTGATCTCCCCTGAACGAGATTTTGACGGAGGGGACCCTGGTGAAGGGGAAAACCGCAGAAAACAACATGAATGGGTTAGTTTTGATTAGAAATTGGGATGGTTTTGTTTCACAGACCTGAAAACCCTGTTATGAATTTACAGTGTGAAACGCCAGTTTATGAATTATTTGTTAATCCAGGGTAAATAATGAGCAGTGTGAATGGCAAATGACCTATTTCAAGCGTGAAAAGCCCTATTGTGAAATCCGAAGAAAAGAATATCTTTAACATTTAATTCCACATATTTTCATCACCACCAGATCGTCTGATATAGCTGACGTGCTAGACATCTTTAAGATGTAGGCTATCTGTCATATTTTATAAACAGAGACATACCCGACCGACACCATTTGAATTCAGTTCTTCATTTCATACATGAATAGAGCAACTTGTGTGTGTGTGTGTGTGTGTGTGTGTGTGTGTTTCACGTTTATCTCTCCCGCACAGCATCCAAAAGTGAACGTGAGTAGGTTTTTATGTTCACAGCCCAGCATGAATGAAACATCACTCTGTACTGTACTGTTTGTGCACAGTAAAACTGTAGGCCGTGTATGGAATGGCTCCACAATGGCAACAGATTCCTTTGCTGGTTCATGTGGCATTGAATGCGCCATTTTTTGTAACGAAGCTTTTCATCCACCAGATGGCAATGATGCACCTGTGCTTAGGAAGGCGAGGGCTCGATTACATGCTGCAGTAATGCAGGGGAACATTTTGTTTTCACAGAACGCAACATCATTAAAATGTCCCCTCTCTAACAGCTTGCTTTATACAGTCTTAGCAGTTGAGTTACGTTAGCATTAGCAAATTAGCATGCCCATACTCTGCATTTGAAAGTCATTTTAACATTTTTGCCTTCAGAACAGTGGACTAGAATAGAATATGCAAATGAAGCCTGATTTTTCTGCATGTTTATTGGCTGAATATATTAAAAATGTAAATTAGATCATTTTTCAGGCACAATTTCATAGCAAACTGCAGTTTTTATTTACTTTCAGCTTTTTTTTTTTTTTTGCAACTAAATACTTTCATTGAGTGCCATTACTCCTTTTTTCAACCAAGCCATGCTGAATCAACCCATCAGTTTCATAACTATCATTATAACTCATGGTGCAGTAACTCAAGAGTACAAACCCTTCCTAAGAATGGTATAGCATGCCCTGTTAGTAAAGCCATTGCTTTATTAACAGAAGCCATCGACCACTTTCTTACCTGTTTGATTGTTTTCGCTTTTCTGTTTCTTGCTTGACAAAGTTGGTTTCACCAAAGCAGATCTACAAGGTATATAAGGTTCAATTCCATTCTGAGTTCGGCTGAAAGCTGCTGTTTTGTCTTGTGCCAGTTTGTTATGTACTCTTCCCAAAACCCAGACATAAAGCGGACACTAGCTGGTTCACTGTAACAATGTCTTGGTATAAAATGGTTCACTTCTTTCTAAAAGAAAATGCCCTTGTGTTTTTTACTGAAGGTCGTGAGACTTGCAAAGTGAGAAGAGAAAAGTAATGGTTGCAACTGAGAGTCTACATTAATAAAACATGAGCCCTCCTGTATAATTAAGTCCCCACGTCCTGTTTTGCTGTATCTTGTCTTGTTTCTTTTTTACGCTAATGACGTTCAGCTGAGAGAGGAATCTGGTTTAGGAGAATCCATTAAGTATCTCACCATGGGTTACTTCTCGCTCGTCTTTAGATGCACTGAACAGCAATATGATTAGCAAAATAATTAATAGAATTAGCATGAAAATCCATCTGGAAATGTCGGCACGCTACCGTAGACTTTAAGCTCAGATAGCGTCCCACAGAGCATGTAAACTCAAACAGATGTGATTTCCACTTTATTATTTAAGCAACATCACAAATAAGTAGCTTGCTGTTAAGTGAATATCATCACAGGTGAGGGTAAATCATTTATATGGTAAGTCACTAACATTTTAGACCCAATGTGACCCATCATGTTTGCTCCTACATTGTTGCGGGTCATTCCTGTTATGCAGTACATACAAGATATTGAAAAAAAAAAATGTATCGTGTTAATGTAAGAAGTTAATGTACTGGTGTTGCAGTTTCAGCTCTGTAAGTATTTATACAATGGCAAAGAAGTTACAGAAACTGGTTAGGAAAAAGAGTTAAGTTACATGGATGTCAGCTTTTTGTGTGTGTATATTTAACCTGTATTCAGTTTCAAGACATGTTGTCTTGAAAACATTTTGAGTATAGAAAGGAAAAACAGGGAAATGTATTGAATACAGTTCCTCATAAATTGGCAGTTTATTATATTTTCCAATGTATTTTATCTGGGGTTCACTTCACTGTGATACTGTGGTAAAATACAATAAATTAATAAACATTCTGAGTTTAATATTATATTCAGTGTATTAATATTGTATATTAATACACTGCCGTTCAAAAGTTAGAGTTCAGTAATAATACTTTTTTTTAAGAAATTAATACTTTTACTAAGAAAGGATGCTTTAAATTGATCAAAAGTGTCAGTAAATACTGTACATTTTCATTTTGACAAAATATTTCTCTTTCAATTTAATGTTATTCTTTTGAACTTTCTATTAAATCAAAGAATCTTGAGAAAATCATAGCACTGTTTCAGCAAAAATATTAAGTAGCATAACTGTTTTCAACATTGATAAATGTTTTTTTCAGCACCAAATCAGCATATTAGAATGATTTCTGAAGCATCATGTGACACTGAAGACCGGAGTAAAATGATGCTGAAAATTCAGTTTTGCATCACAGGAATAAATTATATTTTAAAATATATTAAAATAGAAAACTTTTCTTTGAAATTGTAATAATATTTCACACTATCAATGTTTTACTGTATATTTGACTTCCTTCAAAAACAGTTTAAAAAAACTTACCGACCCCAAATTTTGAACTGTATTGTATAATGGGAAAATGACAATGTACTGCATAAAATGAATGACCCTTATCAGCACTCTTGGCTATTATCTAATCAAATTAGTGAACTGGAACAAAGTTGTTTACTATGTAAATCTGTACAGAAACTTAAACCAAAAATACTCTAATATTGTCGGACTAAGGCCAGTTTGCATAATGTGATGTAATTTGACCGTATCCCATGTAAATATGTTAATGTGCTACTGAATTAAGGCTGAAAGATGTGAATGGAAAATCAGAGAGAACTGTCTTGAAGTATAGGCTCACTGTGATTTTCCATTCGAAGTCCTATCTGCAGTTTTGATAGTCAACAAATTGGGGTGAATCATTTTATGTTGAACTTTTACATAGTACTGAAGTACTGCACTTTGCGTTGCACAGTAAATGCACTTTTAGCCTTCTTTTCTCCCCCTTTTGTTACACTAAATTTTATGTTTGTGGTTAGCTATTGTTTTCACAGTTGTATTTCACAAGAAAAATGCACTCAAAGCCAGTTTATTTGCAATTATCTTGTTTACACGGTTAATTCAGGGGGAATGCATTCACCCTCTTGCTCTGAATTGGGTAATGAGCTCTATTGTTCTTGCTGCATTCTCTCAAAATTGAGCCCAAGTGTGCCAAAACACAAGATGTGTTTGGAACATGCTCAACTCGATTGCACGTGGCTGGTGTGCACACTATTGTTCTTAACATGTGTAACAATAGTACATACTAGACTGTGTACACATCTCGCTGTTAAATGTTGTCATTGACCTTTGTTCCTCTGTGCATATGTGAGAAAGTTCATGCTTGGCCCCGTGTTTGAATCTACTTCTGTAACAAGCTATGTTGAATATGTCTAGAGTATGATGTTTATTACTAAAATCCAATCGTTTATAGGGAATGCCACGTTTGTTTGACAGCTTTCGGGACGTTTTTTGGTTACCTCTACTAACCCAAACTGCATGCATATTGTTACACTCACCTGCATGGCACCTTAACAGCATGACGGGACGTTTGCCCCCAGTATTACATTGCTGTGCTTTGCCACCATAGGTCCTAGCACTACATGCCAAGAAGACTCCTGTGCCAACATGGGCATCTGCATCCAGCAATGGGAGAACTACACCTGCGACTGTTCAATGACCTCCTACACGGGGACACAGTGTAATGACCGTAAGTCACCTTCCGTCCCGTGCAATTTCCACATCCTCTCTTTCTTTTGTTTAGTTCACTCTTGGTTCACTCGTTTACACAATTTTAATGATCACAAGGACTCACTCTATGAAAGATTAATTGAGCACGCTGTAATCTACATAGCAAATGTTACACAAACACCAGCAGTATTTGGTTGCTCAAAAGCTCATACATAAATGTACTGTACACACACACACACACTCTGCATTCATGTTCTGAAGGCCGTTTGAAGACGACAAAGGTACGTGTTGTTCTCTACTTTCTGATGCTGGTAGAATATGCTGTTTACTAGATATTTATTTATTTATACATATATTTTGGGTATTTTATATATTATAATTTAATATTTTAATGTTCTTTTAGTAATGTATTAAATTATTATTTATTTAAAAATTAAATATATGCAATTTTACTTTAATTTCTAAAAGAAACAAACTACTAAAAGAAAATAAAAATATGAAATTGCATTTTTTATTTAATGTTAGATTTTTTTTGTAGTAAAATACTATACATAGGAGAGGCAAAAGAGGCCCAGAAAAAGGTTTTAACACTTAAAACACATTTAAAAAAATGTAATGCCCTCCTATTGGTCTGAGTTGCTTCTATTTGCTCTTCTCATTTGTAAGTCGCTTTGGATAAAAGTGTCTGCTAAATGATTAAATGTAAATGTAATTTAATGGCAATAATAATATGGCAAAATCACACTTAAAAAAAAAAGTTTTAAGAGGTAAACTGGCATAATATATAAATGCTTATAAATGTATTCTATATTTAAAGTTCAAGTCTGCAATCACTTTACTGAGCTCTTCATGGACTTAATCAGATCTGATTATGTAAAACATGGGAGTAAAAATATGATAACACTGCATGGGTATATCACAAGATACAATCACAACATGCTTGATCTATTCGGACGCCCCTTTGCATGAGGTCATTATATATCAAATCTGTCTAAAAACCCCCCGAGAACCAGAATCAATCAACAACAGTGCACTTCTACCACGAGCAGTCGGTCTTGATTCCATAGTCATAATTATGCCATTTTTTTGACATCACTGCCACAATAAAAGGTGTTATCTCGAGTCGGTGGAGATAAACACCATCCCTATAGACGCAGAAAGCGCCTCGGTGAGAATGTGATATATGATTGTGATTGCCTTCCTCCCCTCCGCCGCAAGAACAACACAGTTGACCTTCCAGAGATTGAAGACTGACATGCATAATAGTCTAAAAACGCTAGCCTGCTGCTTTGACAACTCGTATTTTTGTGAGAGGCAGCAGTGAATCAAAAGCATGTTAGTGAAGATAGGGACAGACTTAATTGAATAATGCAGAGAGAGTGATATGTGTGTGTGTGTGTGTCAGCTTTGTCAGTCTGGAAGAATATCTGCCGTAGAGGAAGGAAATCAGAGGACCGGCTTTTTGCAGCTGCTCCAAATTTTTGCTGCTATTTTTAGGGATATGAATGCTTAATGGTGTAGTATTCAGTGCTATAATCAGAAATTCCTCATTTGAAAGAGTCGTAGTGACATGTGACAGGCCATTTTGTTACACAGACTGAGTACAGAGCCTTAATAATTAATTTAATATCCATGTTAGTAAACGAAAGACTGTTTCTTATGTATGTGCAGACTGAAGGTCTCTAGTCACTCTTTAACACTAGGTGGCAGTAATGTTTTAGTTAGAAACGAAAGCGGCCACAGAAATCTGTTGTGTGCCAGAACATCTCATAAAATTTGAATATTTGAATAATACATTATTATATAGCACCCTCTGTTCTGAGTGAATATTTTAGGATAATGTATTCTCACATGTTCCTTACTCATAATTTTGCTGAGATTTATTTCTTTTTTTTAAGGGTTTCTTTTGAGAATAGAACTGTTCAGATTAATAAATCTGTGACGTATGAGCCCTGTTCAGTGTTCAAGTATGTTATATTTATTTTTATATTTATAAAAACTAGAGCTAGTGAAATTGGCAAAAAAAAAAAAAAGATTTATATTCATAGTTTTGTGGAGAGCTTTATTTTCATGCTGCATAAATTAGCTGATTTTTGCTGAGATTTAATGACACAATTGTACTAATTATTTCATTGCAATCACTTGCCCTTTGAAAGGTCAAATCATATTATTTATAAATACGCTTCCACTCATCAAATGGTAGGCTAATCCTTTATTTATCTGTCATGCTTTTTGTTACAACTGATTTTGCGGTATTTTGGTTTGTAGGGTATAATAGATAACTTTGAATTTGTTTTCTAATGCATCTCTGAGATCATAATTAGTATTTGCATTAGTTTAACTATTCCTACTTTACATTAGAAAGGTTAGAGCAGTGGCTCTCATCTGGCTTTGCCTTGAGATTTTACATTTGTATATCATGTGGTCACCCAACAGAGCACCAAAAAGTTTTTTTTGTTTGTTTTTTTCATTCAAAAGTAATAAAATTTTCTTTTTAAAAAATCTTTTTCTCATCTGAATACGAGATTATATGCTTAGTTGCATTTGAATGATCTCTTTTAAAGCATATTTGAGTATCTTGAAAAGTACTCTATAAATAAAATATTTTATTCTGCATATTAAATTCGAATATATGAATGTATCCATTCCCAGAAAAGCCACTAGAATATGATTCACTGAATCCAGCAGAATTGTACACTAATTTGGTTGTTCCAGTGAAGGAGGCCAGTGATCATCAAAATGCTTTTAGTCAGAGTAGACTGTATTTAGCAATGGCAGATGTGTTTGCCCTTGGCCCCTAAATTAAGATTAAAACTGAGTGCAGTGCTATTGCATTAGACAAGAGCTTGTGTATGAATGAGATGCATTTTCAAGCAGCTACAGCTAAACAAACACCAAATTGCAAGTTGCCCCTCGCATTCCAAGTCTTTGCTTATTAATTTGGACACACTGTGCAATCACGTTGATTGAGCTGCGGTAATAAATGACTGGTTAGAAGCTCCATTGGCTGTTAAATGAACTCGTGGCAAATGAATATTGCTTAAAGGAATTTGCCAGTATCCGCTATAGACGAGTGTGAGGTACTGTCTGAGTACGAAGCTGTTTATTCAGAAGTTTAAATGGCCTTGTTTCATGCAGGATTCTTTTAGTTCCAGAAAGCAAAGCAGTTGGCGCTCAAATTCCATGAGACGTTCACAAATGGCTTTTGAAGGAGCTGTGCTACATGCTTCCTAATGAATTCCCTCAGGATTTACTGAAGGTGCCTGTCATTTTCTTGGCTGCGGGCCCTTGATGGCCAGCACACTATATGTCATCTCCATATAGCTTCATACTTTAGTTGAGTTTTAGATACTGGGACTCCATATGATGCTGTTTTATATGCTAAAACTTCTGAAGGGGTTTTACAAATTGCCTAGTTGCACAACAAAGCGATTCTTTTCCTTTTCTGTTTTCCCACAGCATTAATTACCGGGGTTAACATAAAATATTGCTTTGCACAATTTAAATGATACCCATCGGCATTCTTCCTTTTTTTCCTCCATGTCCAACATTTGTTTCATAAATATATAAATTAAACGACAGATACACAAATAACATGCTGGAGGGATGGATTTGTTTTCCCTCATGTGTGTCTGACATAAACAGAGTCTCTGTAATTAAGGAGCATCTTTTTCTCTGTCTTTGTTGGAGAGGAAAGAGAAGGAGGCTAGCGAGACTTCATCAAAGCTGTGTTCTCCTCACTCCATTAGAAACAAGAGAACCCATCTGAGCCACACCATCAATTAAGATGGCAACAAAAGCAAAGGCGCACCTTCAGCTATCTCGTGTCCAATGTAGTGTTACTCAGACAATGCATCTCGGCGGGGAGAGAGAAACGCATTAGAGATGGATAGAAGGCCAAGTGTGGGCTTAAGTAACAGGAAATGTTCTGTGATTTAATTAAGCGAGGTGTAAATGCTTTGACTAGAATTATCAAATTACTTCCTGTATGGCAAATGACTTTCAAGGAAATGTTTTTTTTTTTTATTAGTGGTGCTAACCTTGGGTTAGAGGTTTAAACAAGAGCGTTTTAAGGTTTGACGGCTTGTTCACACCAAGAACGATAGCTGTAGATGTTAGTCATGGTAGCGCCATATTTAATTTTTGACAGGAATGAAAACGAGGCTGTGAGGGACAGAAGTACAGTGCGTTCAATGGATTGAACTGTTGTTTAACAACATACCAATTGTTCAGTTGATGAAATGTCTTTCTTGAAAAAGCTTTCAGTAGACAAAAGCTCCATAGAACAGTTTTGAAAGTTGTGATTTGTGAAAATTACTTGATCTAGGATGTTAATACAGTGTGTAAAGACTGTAGGTGTATCCCTCACAGCTTCGTTTTCATCTGTGTTCAATTCAATATCGTCAAACCTGATTAATGTCAGTAACGATAACTATATTACCGCCCATATAGTATATTTGTACCCGATTTGTGAGTAAAACAAGGTCTGTGGTAAATATCAATTGGTGATACTTTCAATTGATGGCATTTTGTTCTACAATGTAAATTACATACATACCCACACTGAAAACATGAATTTTGAAGCAGTTATGTTCATTTGTTTGTAATGAGTAATTACATAAGAATGTTTGGTGTGCGAGTGTTTGCAGTTTACAAAAAAAAACTAAAAAACATCCAAGTATTGTTAAGTTGCGTATACCACAAACCTTATTTTACTTATGAATTGAAAAACCCAATTATAAAAACTCACAGGAAAATTTTGAGGGCACCTATGGCTAATTAGTCTTCTGGGTTCGATGTCACGAATGCAGCTCTCTATTGACCAATCAGAATAAAGTATACCAGAGATGACCAGAATAAAGTATGCCAGACATGTAACGACACAGTAAAAGATAGTTAATTTCTGTAGTTTTCATTGTAATATTGCATGTAGTTTTTTACTCGTATTTACAAGTTGAACGAACATGAATGCCACCACAAAATCAAATTAGGAGTTAGAAACTAGGAAACTCAGAATTT